GCAGGCCTCTCACTGTTGTGGCCTCTACCGTTGCGGAGCACAGGCTCCGGACGCGCAGGCTCAGTGGCCATGGCTCACGGGCCCAGCCGCTCTGCGGCATGTGGGATCTTCCCGGACCGGGGCACGAACCCGTGTTCCCTGCATCGGCAGGCGGACTCTCAACCACTGCACCACCAGGGAGGCCCGGCAGGCGATTCTTAACCACTGCGCCACAAGGGAAGTCCCATATTTCTTAATAGATTCTTAATCAGTGACATGTTAGCAGGAATTTACATAGTTTCTCAAAGTTTTCTAGGTTGAGTACTAACTTAAAAAAAAAATTTTTTTTTATTGATGTATATTTGATTTACAATATTAGTTTTATGTGTACAACATAGTGATTCAAAATTGTTATGGATTATACTCCATTTAAAATTATTATAAAATATTGGCCATGTTTCATGTGCTGTACAATATATCCTTATAGGTATTTATTTTACACATAGTAGTTTGTATCTCTTAATCCCATACCCCTATCTTGCCCTTCCTCCCTTCCCTCTCCCTACTCCCCACTGGTAACCACTAGTTTGTTCTGTATATCTGTGAGTCTATTTCTGTTTTGTTATATTCATGCCTTTGTTTTATTTATTTTAGATTCCACATATAAGTGATAACGAACTGTATTTGTCTTTCTCTGCCTGACATTTCACTAAGCATAACGCCCTCTAGGTCCATCCATGTTGTTGCAAATGGCAAAATGTCACTCTTTATGGCTGAGTAATATTCCATTGTATATATACCACATCTTCTTTATCCATTAATCTGTTGATATACACTTTGGTTGCTTTCATATCTTGGCAATTGTAGATAATGCTGCTCTGAACATTGGGGTTCATTTATCTTTTGAATTAGTGTCTTTGTTTTCTTCAAGAAAACTACACCCAGGAATGCAGTTGCTGGATCACATGGCAGTTGTATTTTTAGTTTTTTTTTTTTTTTTTTTTTTCCTTGCGTTATGCGGGCCTCTCACTGTCGTGGCCTCTCCCATTTGCGGAGCACAGGCTCCGGACGCGCAGGCCCAGTGGCCATGGCTCACGGGCCCAGCCGCTCCGCGGCATGTGGGAACTTCCCGAAATGGGGCACGAACCCGCGTCTCCTGCATCGGCAGGCGGACTCTCAAGCACTGCGCCACCAGGGAAGCCCTATTTTTAGTTTTTTGAGGAGCCTCCATACTGTTTTCCCCAGTGTCTGCACCAATTTACATTCCCACCAAGTGGATGAGGGTTTGTTTTTCTCCACATCCTCACTAACATTGATTATTTGTGGTCTTTTTGATGATAGCCATTCTAAGAGACATGAGGTGATATCTCATTGTGGTTTTGATTTGCATTTCCCTGATGATAAGCGATGTTGAGCATCTTTTCATGTGCCTGTTGTCCATTTGTATGTCAAGTTCTGGATCATTTCTGTATGTTGCTGGTAAGGACCATAATATGTTTTGGGGAAATGGGACTGACTAAAATGAAACTTTAAAGTTTTCTTGGTGGACTTTTTGAGAACTGACTAAACATCACCTTTCAGCAGGTGTAATGATTTGCTTTAAATTATTGAAACAGAGGAGCATTTATAAAGTCTATAATATTGAACCCCTAATATATTGTGTTCATTTGTGACTAAAACAGAAGTTATCTGTATTTTATGGTGAATCAGACTTTAATATATCTTAAATGCAAACGATCTTTAATTCTGTAAAAATTATTTAAACAAAAATCTGATTTAATTTCCAACTTAGATTTGTGTACAGTATTTATTAGGTAAGCTTTATAATTGGGTTGTGTATAACATAAACCTGCTTATTTCATTTAATGAAAATATAGTTTAAGAGGTTTTTAGCCATTAATGTTTTTTTAAAATAAATTTATTTTATTTTATTTATTTTTGGCTGCGTTGGGTCTTCGTCGCTGTGTGTGGGATTTTCTCTGGTTGTAGCGAGCGGGGGCTACTCTTCATTGTGGTGCGCGGGCTTCTCATTGTGGTGGCTTCTCTTGTTGTGGAGCACGGGCTCTAGGCATGCGGGCTCAGTGGTTGTGGCACATGGGCTCAGTAGTTGTGGCTCACAGGCTCTAGAGCACAGGCTCAGTAGTTGTGGCACACAGGCTTAGTTGCCCCGCAGCATGTGGGATCTTCCCGGACCGGGGCTCGAACCCGTGTCCCCTGCACCACTGTGCCACCAGGGAAGCCCCTAGCCATTAATGTTTGACTACTACTATAGTTTTCAAAAGAAGCATCTATAGGCTTAAGATTCCTATATTGATGCTTATAAGAAAATTGCAAAGAGGCATATTTTCATTACTTTTTAAAAACTTCTATTTATAGAAATTTATTTCTTTTAGGGAAAGTTTACATACATGTATATAGGTATATTTACACCCACGCATGCATATATATATGCATGCGTGGGTGTATATACATTATCTGGAAATTAATAAGTATATATGTGTATATATGTATGTATATACACATTCATACCTTGAATAGGAAAATAACTTTGGTCTAAATTCTCTGCATATTATTAAAATCCCTGACTGAAGGTAAAGTAAAACCAGTTTGAAAAGTGTGTAATCATTGTGAAGGTTTTTAGAGATAATT